CAAAGGAATTAATTCACTGAGCCCAAATGTTTGCTTCCTGCCATAAATAGAAAAGCACTAAATTCTTAAACTTGAGATATCTGGTTTTCTTTAGATAACAAGCAATCTTTTATTGTTCCAACTACCTGGTCTTTGTTGTAAAGCTCCTATATACCCTAGCTCCTCCCCAATCTCTTCGGAGCAGTCCCTCAGAGCGATCTGAGAGGCTGTCATCCCGGCCCGAGTCCTCCCACCAAATAAAACTTAACTCTTAACTTTTAGGCTGCACATTTATTTCAGTCGACACAACTTACAACAAACCCAGGAAGAAGTGAATATTATCATGCCCATTTTACTGATTCACCAACTGGCTAAGTGAGGTTACATTCTAGTCCAATTTCCTATGGTGCAGAATTGGCAACTTAAACCTGAAGCTGGGGTGCCCATGCCTGTGCTCCTTCTCCCTCCCATCTACCTGATCACTTGTCTGTGAAATCCACCTGTCCAATACAGAAGTTTGCAGCTGGCCAGCTCTTAAATGCAATATGTGCCACCATTTGTCATTGCTGGTTAATTACCATAAACTGCTCTCAGAAAACGTTACAGAAAAAACAGATGGACCCAATTCCCTGCCCACAAAGAAGAGGAATTCTGCCTTGCCTTCCCCAGTAATGTGCAGAAACCCTTCCCTCCACCACTAAATCGAAATGTATGCTTCATCCGTGTTTATGTTTGCACAGGACTTATGAAAGCACAAGGTGCCTGCAATAATTCCATCTTGGTTCCTTTCCAAATATACAGATTAGCCCAAATCAGATCCAGAACAGACATAACTCATCAAATCCGCAATGAAACACACTGGATCAAAAACAAAATGCGTGTCCTAGTCCAGAAAACTATGGGTCCCTCTTTCTTCCTGTCATTATACAATCCCACCAGAACTCATTACTTTGCTGTCTGCCCATCTGTCAACCAAATGCAGAGCAGAGTTAACTCAGCAGAGCACCCTCCTGGGGAGAACACCCCGCAGCAGCACTGCGGGCTAACTGCCCCCCCGCACGCTCTGCTGAACCCCTAGTGTCCTCCGTGGAGACCAGGCCAACAGAGTTGTTCCCAACAGCAGCAAAGTCCCACATATTAAATAAAAACGTTTTATTTTATACGATATGTTATGTATATACCCATCTCTGAAAACAGCTTTGCCAGAAGCCCAAATCTTCAACATTAATCTGCAAAGGCAATTCCGATCTCCAAGGGAAAGCAAGCCTTAAGACGATGCTAAGGCCTCCAGAGTCCTCTCCATGACCTTCAACCAAACTGCCTGCAGGTCTGCAGCTGCAGGCGGCTACATGTCTGTTTTTAAAGCACTCCCTTCCTTCCCTCGTGTGCTACAAAGTCCCTCTACGCCCTCCCATCTCAGGGTAAGAGCAGCCGCTGCAGAACCTTGCAGGGCAGCACTGACAGGACTGGACACAGAGGATTAGAGCTAAACTAAGCTTTCTTTTCTTTTTTTTTTTATATACTAAGCTTTCTGATGACACCAGCTTGTCACTCTGTCACTTTACAGATGAATATATATAGAGAGAGGTGGGGTGATCTTGCTCAAAGTCACACAGCTAATAAGTGGCAAAGTCTAAAACTCTGCTCCTCCCTCCGGCGTGACGCCCCAGCTGGGACGCCCAAAGGGTTCTCTCGTGCCTGCCTGAAAAGTCCTTGACTGTCACTCATGACCCACCACAGGGTCTGTCTGCAGCCTGCCTTTTCAGCATCTTTTCCCTCCAGTTTCTCAGGAACAAGGCTGCTCCGGCCACTGTATGACTTCCGGCTCCCCGAACCCACCGTGCTCAGGCCAGTCATGCTTGTGCATCCGGCCCCCGGCTCAGAGGATTTTCCGTACCTGCAGGTGGATTTTTCCACTCTCCGCAGGGACACCCCCTCAGGGGAGCCCTCCTCTCGCCCTCAGTATGGCAGGTGTCCCAGGCCACATCCCGAGCTGCCCCATTAAGACTCCTTGTGCTCAGGTCTGCAAGTCAGACCAGCAGCTTCAGAGCCCGGGGCTATGCCCGGGTCACCCGGCAGACCTACTGACCATCTCCCAGCCCATACCCAGCAGGTCACTTGGAAGCCACAGTAGGTGTCCCACCCAATCCAGAAGGCTGTTCACTTGCCCGCACCGCTGATGGCTGGTTTCCAATCTTTGATCAGTTTCACACAAAACAGCGGCTTTCACTTTGAAGCGGGGGGTTTTCCCTTCTGCTGTCCATCCTTACCAGAAACATCAAGGGAAACCAAAAGGCTTTTTCTCAACCTTTTTCTGATGACACATTTCCACCCACAATACTCACATTCTCAAGAAGTTTGGGTCCACGTGATTTTGTTTCCCTTACACTAAGTGGCTCAAAAGACTGTGGGATTCTTTCTCTTTTAAGGGTATTTTTTGTACTCAGTTTATCGGCTTTAATCTGTTTTTGTCTCTCTCTTCAGTGTCCCTGGCAGTTGCCACTTCTCACTCCCTACAGCAGCCTCCCTCCCAACTTCTAATCTAGGAAATCAGCTGTGATGAGGGGCCCGGGGGCAGTCACAGAAGATGGAACTAAGGCACAGAGGGGCTACATAATATGCCCAAGGAGATCAGCTTCAACCCCCAACAATGTGTGTCACGTCCCTCTGTTTAACTCTTATGTTAAATTAGTTAACTTTTAATAGATTATGGTTATAAACAGATGAGGTATCAAAATACATACAAGGACACACATCAACTCTAAGATGTTCATTAACTCCACTATTTTGCTTCTATTTATTTTATTGCTAGTAAAAGAATTAAGAACCTCTGCAGTCAATATAGCAAAATGTTAATGGGTTTTAAATCCAGAATATACAGGCGTAAGTGTATTACTCACACTCTTTTGTATATTCACAAGACAAAATGATTTGAATGTCTCTCTTCCCTCCCCCTTACTCACTACTGGCTCTCACCTGAGCTCCCAGAGCACACATCTAACAGCCTTTCACTTTACCCACAGCTGAACTCATCAGCTTTCCCCCAGATCTTCCTCTGCAGCTTTCCCCTCTCAGAGCACAGCAGACCATCATTTGCCTTATTAATCCACCCAGAAACCCTGGCCTTACTCCATCATACCCTAACAGACATCATTCATCCTTTCATTTTACCATCTAACATGTCTTCAATCTGTTCGCTTTTTCCCACTGACTGTCCCACCACTCAGGTGGAAGCCACCAATACTGCCCACATGGACTCATGAGTCTCCCAGTTTTCCCCAGCACTCTTCCCTACTTGAGACAAATGGGATTCTGTCACTCTCGTGCTTTTAAGACCCTTTTCAAACCCACTGTTCTGAGATGAAACTCCAAGTTCTTCACATGGTGAAGGTCTTTGCCATGAAACTATCTGCTCAGGGAGGGCAGGACCTGCCCTCTCCCCTCAGCCCCGTCCTTTGGCACAGAGACAGCTCGGGAGGACCTGCTGAGCTACACCAGCCTGTATTCTAACCCTGGTCTTGAGTTCTTAGCAAACTGCTTCACTTATCCATACAAATCCAAGGTAGATTAGAAAGATTTTAGATATTTAGCTAGACTTTTGATTTGGGGATTTTGCACTAGCAACCTGCAATTACATGTTCAAATAGTTCTGTCTTCTTAAAACCACACCCAGATTTAAATACTATCTGTGTAATGACTTCGGAATAAAAGGAACAGTACTTTCACAGACTTTATGTTTTATAATATGAACAACCTGGACAGGGTGACAAATGGAACCGCCTAACAAGTGACAGAAGACGGGTTAGAGGCATAAAGCAACAGGTCGCAAGGACGGTAAGAGCAAAGTGGTTTCTCCAACCCCCCCCTAAAATCCTGAGAGAACTGAAAATTCTGAATTTTGAAAGTAAAAAACTATCACATAAAGAAATAAAATAATCCTCTTCATCAGGGTTTCAAGATCTGACTCCAGAATTTTTAGCATGCCATACTGAATACTAGCACAGAAACATCAGATGGGCTAGTGGTGAGTAAGTTCCAGGAAAACGGCAGTAATTCCTCCACTTGTAAGAGGACACACACTCACTTGTCGAAGGTGATTGTAAACCACATTCTAGAGAAATTCAGAAGATTCAGGCTCCGCTTCTAGATGGTGAGGACACGGAAGGACGGCTTGGATGCATGCTTCTAACTGAGTCACCGGCATTCTTACACTGCAGGGGGAAAAGGAGGCCCCCAGTCAAGAGCAGAGATGTTCCTGTCATGTCTCGCAGGCCATGCCTCAGGGACTCACTGCCCTGTAGCAGTCCGGCCCCAGGCGATGACCCGCAGCGTGGCCCACCCAAGAAGGAGGGGCACTATTCTTGAGAAAACCCACCCCTGATGGGGGCAAGACGGGCTGGTGGGGTTGAATGAACCTATAAATGCCCACAGAAATACACCTGTGTTCATTCAAGTGATACAACCAACAGTAGCAGGCTATTTTATAAAATTTCAATTGTCAGTGGAAATTTTACCATTCCTTTCTGCTGGTCCCCTACACTCTGAGACAGGCTTAAGCTCTCTCACACCTGCAGCTCTGATGCAATAGTTGTGAAGTCACTTTACTTTGCTGCGATAGTCCTCGCTCCCCGTGTCACTGTGTCTGTCCTCTCTTAACACAGTTGGATGTCTTCTTGGATCTCTCCCTGAGTTCCTTTCTCCTGCTTCTCAGATCCTAAGATAAAGGGCAAGTGAAGACACATGACGAGAAAAGGCACTGTGGTCCTCAGTGACCCCCTAGTTGAGTGCTGCCAACCCCTCAACTTCAGTTCTCAAGGTTCTGCCCAGGGTGATATCCAGCCAGACGAGTGGCCCAGGCCAATTAAAAGCTGTGTGGCTTGGGTGCGGGGACAGCTGCATGAGCTGTTTCCGGAGCCGGGCCCCTGCCCACCTCTGCTTCCCTCTCTCCCTAGGCCCCGCTGCCAAGCTCCCAGGCTCCCTGATCTTCTGCATTTCTCTCCTACTCTACTCCAAACCCTTTTCCTCTTCCTTTTTTCCCTAATTATCCCCAGCTGGTGTGATTTTTCAATCACACTATCTGGAAAAATTTCCTGTAGCCGAAAAAGAGGTCTCCAGAAGTCAATGCCCATATGCTGGCTCCTGAATAGAGCCCCAGGCTGGGGGGACCCTCACCAACACTCCTGGGGGCATTAGACATGATACGGGGTCAACCACCCTCAACAGGAGTTTGCTGATACCCCAAGGCCCGCACAGCACCCCTGCTCACAAAAATGTAGTCAGCCCACTAATCGGTTATTAAGAAGAAAAATGCAAAACTGCTTATGTTTTTTACTAAAATTATTTATGAGATGGAAAAAGAAATTGTAATAGGAAAGAAGAAATCTGACTCCGTGTTAGATCTGTTCCTTTGGCTTTAACTCTGTGCCCTGTTTTCTAGGCTCAGATTTGCTAGCTCTGCACTTTTCGTGAAAGAAAGTTGCCTTTAGCCTGAAATAAACAGGAAAGCCTATTCTCCGGGCTCTGATATTTAAGGATGTTAGCTCTTCTGCACTTATGTAGAGAGTTTCAAGTTGCAAAATTGAATATAACCTTTGTTTTGTCAGAGGTTTTACATGGGCACCATGATTTGACCCGCATGGACATCTACAAGAACAAAGGATACCAAGGACAAACAATTCGTACAGGAAGAAGTTTGCAACAACCAACCACACCCCCTCCCCTTTTCAGTATAAAAGGAGCCTGAATTCTGACTTGGGGAAGAGGGTTCTCCAGGACATGAGTCTTCTTGGTCTGCCAGCTTTTCAAATAAAGTCACTATTCCTTGCCCCAACACCTCATCTCCCAATTTATTGGCCTGTCATTCGGCAAGCAGAACGACTTTGGACTTGGTAACAAAATACATTGGAGATAGTATGTCTTCACTGTTTCCTCATTTCCAATATGTAGCATGCACATCATTTATGATCTAATGCAAACAATTCATCAAAGACAACAATAACAAGAAACTCATCTAGCTATCAACACTGAAGTCACAAACTATTATTTTTACATGTCGTTTAACAACAAAACCAAAAAACTTAATATAGACATTTGATACGATGGAAATAAAATTATTTCTAGTCCTTCAAATCTTTCTTTCTTTTCTATTTTCTTTTGTTTTGCTTATTGAAAGGAAAATAAAAATCAAATCATTTTATATCACGTATTTTTGTTATAGCTACATATTTTAAATACTACAAAGAGATTTAAATTGCAACAAAAAAGTTCATATATTAGTATAAATATATATACAATCAATGGGGATTAGGAAAAGAATGGACATTTACTAAAAATCCACTGCCCATCCAGTCTTTTACAAGCAGATCCTGGAATATAAGCTCTATAATCCAGGGGTCCCCCACCCCATTCTCATTGCCAACTCCCTTAGTAATCAACTACCAAGGCACCAGCATAGAAACACGCAATCAGTATTTTAGGTATAAATGAGGGAATTAGCTCATTCAATTCTAAAACAAAAACCCTAAAATAAATACTGAACTTATTTACAGATAAAGAAAATTGGACACAAAAAGGTAAACTTTATTCATCAGGGTCACAAAGCTAGTAACTGGTAAAGGCAACATTTGAACTCATCTGCCTGATTCTAAAAACTAAGGTGGAAATCTCATTCCACTTGTGATGGTCCAGCAGCACAGCCTATCATCTTATCTTTGTTCAGATCTAGCCTTAGACAGCCTGAGACAGCACCCCATTCCTATGGAACTCAAGGGCAAATGATAAAAATAAGGATCTTATATCCAGTAGTTTTCTTAGCTCTCATTTACATAAAGCATCAGCAGGTCAGCAGAAAATCTCTGGGAAATATAAGTAAGTCCAGAGCTTTTTGCTGACTAGAAACTCAATCTATTCGGACAGAGTGACCTCCCCATGAGAGGCCACATGGACATAAACTAAAGGCAGCTGAGCAATGAAAACTAGCAGGACCCTGGAACTCAAGCAAAAAGGATCCCTGCCATCCCGCACCCAGTTGCCTCTTCACCCGTGTGGACACGATGGCAGTAGACCCAGGTTCTTGTCCAAGTTTCACCATCATGGATTCTCACTCATAAAAAGTTATGACTCTATGCTGTCTTAAATCCATTCCAACTCAAATATGATGACACCGATGTCTCAGCAGAATGTCTATGTCTCCACTTCCTCTCTTCTAATAGGAGAATAATTCTATGGCCACAGAGAAATCCAATAAAAAATGATGCATGAAGCCAGGATAAAGTCTGCTTAAGAGACTTTGCTCTCACGCTCAGTGAATGAAAACTCAGAAAAAGTGGTCCTTCTCCCTCAGCAAGTGGGAGGTAGCCTGATGTGTGTGTGTGTGTGTGTATGTGTAAATCAAATACAGTCAAGTCTGGGATGTGAACAGATTTTTTTTGTCACTCTTATTTCAAGGGGATGGGCCAAACTTTAAAGTAATTTGAATCTAGTGTTCTGAGAGAGTCTCAGGCTCTTTTGGTGAAGGAAGGGAAAGGAAAGGAGGAAAGAGGTAAATGAAGCAAAGGAGTAAGAATACTGCTAGGGAAAGGCAAAACATTAATTTTGTTCTTTCTTGCATCACATACAAATTAGGGACTGGCTTTGCCCCGATGTCTTGTCGAGCACTGAGTTGCAGAAGAATTGACAGCCTATTTCTCACTGAGCTTGTGACTGTACATGGCATCTTATAGACATAAAGAATTTACCCTGAACAAACACTCTAGCAGCAGGCTGTAATTCTCCTGTTTTGAGAGACAGGAAAACAGGAGTTCAAAGAGGGTATATAACTTGACAAAAGTCAGAGGATCAGTAAACAAGAGAGGATGAATTCAAACTCAGATCTGAATGCAGAGTCTGCTCTTCTCACTCCCAGGACTGGAAAACCCTTAACACATAGGCTCCCCGGGTTCCCTGCAGTGTTCCTGGAACCAAGCATTTCCCATGGCGATGGTTTCCAGTTCTCACAGACACAGCAATCTGTGCAGCCAATGACCTTCAGCGGACCTTGATCATCTACCTGCCACGCCCACCAGGCTTCACAATAAAGGCAGGAAAGCTGGCTTTCAAGTGCATACAAAGTCACCCCTGTTCTAACCTGGGTTCTTCTGGGGCTTCTCCAGCCTAAAGGCAGCCATGAAACTGCTCACAGTTTGTAAATGAGCCATACGACCTCTCTCCATCTGTCTCCCCACCTATACTACTTAGCTATGGCCATTTTGATAATCTTGGAAACAAATTTTTAAAAACAGAATAGAAAGGATTCTGGAACAAGTACTTAATACTTCCAATTTTAAATGACAAGTTACAAAGTGTGTATTTACAAACCGAATCTGCCTTTCTAGATGTCAGTTTTAAGCAGTCAGAAAATACAATAGCAAATAATTCTCACTTACAAAATTAACAAAAACATAAACAATAATCTGGAATAAGCTCACAAATTATGCCCATTTTCTAAATGAAGAAAACTACCAGACTGTACTGAAGGGTAAAATAAGAGGTGTAAATGTAGAGACATCAACATATTGCATGGAGGAAAGCAGTTTTGTAAAGATATAAGTTTTCCTAAAGATAATTCAAAACTTACTAAAAAATCCCATGAAAACCCTTATCTGATTTTTTTTTAACTTGAGCAAAATATTTTTGAATTCTTCAGGAATAATAAAGTGATAATACTGGCCAAGAAAATTTGGGATGAAAGAAAAGAATCAAAAACAAATCACACCATCAAATATTAAATAAATTTTTACAATGTGTAAGATATGGTGCTGGAATAAGAAAGGAAGATTGATAAAAAGGAACCATTGGCTCAAAAAGAGACTCTAGTGTACATAAGTATTTTGTAAACATGGGATTTCAAATCAAAGAGAAAAATATGAATTAAATAATTGTCCTGGGAAAATCAGAGAATCTCCTGGAAAGAATAAATTCTATTCCTGTCATAATGACCACAAGAAAAATTACAGATAGTGATGTAAATATTAAAAAGTAATAATAACAGTAAATTCAACACTTTGCTCATATTAACTCAATTTACCCTCACTATAACAAGTACTATTATCATCTCCATCTTAGAGATTAAAAAACCTACAGAAGAGATTTATTCCATTATAAGAAAGTATTTCCAAGGATAATGTCAAAGATAAAACCCATAAGGAAGACATTTGCTATCTTAAGAATATTTTGGGTCACAACGAAAATAAAAAAACCTACTTAACAAAATGAAAGACAAGAAATGAGAAGAAAAATCTCTGTGACACGTGTTGATGAAGACAAGAAGTTAATGTTCATAACATACAAAGAGCTGTCACAAAGCAACAAGAAGCTCCCTCACTTAACTGTGTGCAAAGAACAAAAGGGATCATTCATTTTTAAAAAGTCAATGGCTCAAGAGTGAAAAATGCTCAGTACATCACTGGTCATCAAATGCAAGCTAAAACATTGAAAAAGCACTTTTGCTCATCATATTGGCAAATATTTGTAAAAGGTATTCTAGCTAGTGTCCATCTGTGAGAGAACAAACTGTGAACGAACTTTTTGGAGGACGACATGTCAATGAATATGTAAACTTTATAAAACGTGCATACACACCGACTCAACTCCGCTTCTAGGAATCGTTTTGTTTAGAAGAAAAGACATCAGCTCAAAAAGATGTACTCATCAAGTCATTTACACAGCACTGTTTACAATGGTGGGAAGAAAAGCTGAAGTGAAATCATATCCAGTGATAGAGAATTGGTTACATAAGTAATTCTACATCTTTTCACTCCCCACTGGAGAAGGAATTTCTAGAGTCACTTGAAAGGAGCCTGTGATGAATGTAAATGTCACATCCAAGGACTAAATTTCCGAAGCCTTAACTAAAGGAATACTCATACAAGATCACAGGAATGTTTGTACAAGAAGGATGCTAGTCAAACATCTTTTCTGACAGTGGAAAGTGGAGAAAACTTAAGTGTCCACCATCAAGACAATTATGCGGTAAATCACGGTGAGCTGTGGGCTCTGAGGGGGCGGGCATTTCGGCATGGTCCAGGGCCTTGTCCACAGCACTCTCCCACAAAAGTTGTCCTTGCACAAGACACCACACCTGCACATCAGGAGACCCCTTCACTCTATCTGAAAGGACTGGGAGAGTCTGTAGTGGGAGGATGCCTATGATACACCCCTGAGTGAATGAAGTGAGCTGCAGAAAAATATACAGTGTGGTCTCATTTTTCAGTAAAGCATATATACACACACATATACATAGATTTCTCATATACGTGTGTGTGTTTGTATGTGTGTGTATATATATATATATATATATATATATATATGTCATTGGCAAAAAGGTTATGAAATATATACACCACATTGTCAACAGCTTTTACTCACAGGAAATAAGGGGAAGGGAGGTAGGGATCCTCCTGTACCACCGCTGTTCTATTTTCAGTATTTCAGTTAAGTATACTTGGAATTTAGAAGTTTATTTAAGTCCGAAGTAAAATAGACGATGCCTCCACAAGACAGAATGCTATACTGGTCATTAAAAATCATGCCAGGGGAGAGAGAACATTGTAGAAAAACATGTAATAAGCCGAATGGAAAATGGAGGTGTCCACACAGTAAACAGGCACAACGTGCTTGCTGGTTTTTATGACAGAGGTGATACACACTGACGAAAAGAAACAGAAAAAAGATGTTAACGTGTTAATTATTATCTCTGAGTAGTGGGACCAGGATAGCATCTTTTGCCCCTTTTTTCAGACTTATTATATTAAATACACATTGTTTTTCATCTGAAACAAAGCATTTTCAGATGTGTAGTACAGCACATTGGAAAATACACGTGTACTTACAGAAACAAGTAACTAGGTGACGCCGCAGCAGTGTCACACAATGTAGAATGGGCGATCCTGATTAACACCGCGCAGTTACATAAGGACCCACAAAATGAGAGCACCTGCTGTAACAGGGCGTGGCCCCTTTCTATTTGTCAGTTCTGTCTTCAGGGCTGAGGCAGTTCTGAGCACGGCCAGTGTCAGTGCTGGTATCTGGATTGATGCCACTGGAGGTGAGGGCGCCTGCAAACAGACAGGAAGAACAGAAAGCATCCTCTGATTTTTCTGTTTTGCTTCCTTTTTACTTTAAAAGAGATGCACAAATAAGATAAACTGTATATCTTGCCTACTGAAATTTCAGTAATTAAACTGTTTTTAAATCCTTCAGAGCTTATAATGTGCCTATAACTGTCTTTTCAACAAAGCATCATATTTATTAAATGTTAATTAACTCAGTTAATTAACTTCCTGTTGAAACCTTCTATTAAAGAACATGAAATGCACTACGTAAAACCACCACGCCTGCAGTGACCAGTTTAGCTGTCTTGACGGCAGTGCTGTCACCCCCACCATCCCGTGGCCATGAGCTCTTGATTCTGGTAAGAGAACACGCTGCCGCCTCAGATGGAGAGAAACTGTGAAAGCATTTTCTGAAGTCAACAGCACTGACAAAACATGACTGAAAAGTCCCAGTCACTTTTGAGGCTGTCATTTTCTGTTTCTGGCCAACACCCGTCAATGAGCAGAACCACACCATTCCCGAGCCATGGGACTCACGTGGGAAAGAGTTTTGGAGAAATTTCCAGATATAGAATGTAACCAACTATATGTAGAACTCTGACAAAATAAAAGATGAAATACTCTGATTTTGGAAGACACTCAAAATATTCTCCTAAGCCTTAGTAGCTGGAAAGACAGGGCTTCTCCTAATCCATTTATTTATTTCACAGCCAGTGAGCATCTCCCACAAACCCTGTTTCCCTGTGTCTTCTGGGAGCCTCAGGCACACTCTTGCTGTCCATCTTATTAGTGACAGGGCAGAGGTGGGTGTCTCATGCCTGCAAACCTCACACAGGCTCGCCTCCTAGCCTCACTGTCTGAACTTGGCCCCATTTTCTCACCTGTTTATTTGGTATCTGTTCTGTAAGCTGCCTGAAATGCTTCTTGGAAAAAGTCATAAGAATGAGTGGGTAGAGAAATGGACACATGGACAGGTGAGAGATGGGCAGACAGACAGACTCCAAGAAAAGGTGAAGAAAGAAAATTTCCTATGCAAAACCTCTTCTAGTAAGGGAAGAAAACCATCACGGAGAAGTGTGAAGAGGCAGGTAGCTTAGGACTGTTTCCTGGATTCCATGAAATGTCACACCAAGAGATGAGAGGGTAGAACTATACATAATAAAAGAAAAAAAGCATGCATGCTTGAAAAATATATCTACAATATGTATTTTCTAAAGAATACATTCAAATAAGCAGGGCCCAGTAACACAATCCTTGGGTATTTACAGAAGTGAGAATCCCACCTCCAAACCACAAGGCATCCCTTCGGAGCACTGAGAGTCTACACGGGGCGGTCGTAAAGCTGTCTCCGCAAATCCATTCTATCCTGCACTTACGAGGAGTGAGCAGCTGTGCTCGGGCTTCCTATGAGCGTCATTTACACCCCACAGCACCTCTACGTGGGGGGGGACGCCTAGCGAGCCCCGTCTCTGCAGGAGAGAAAACAAGTCTGGGAGAGGCTAAGCCGACCTACCAGTTCAACATCTCACAGGGCTGGTCACTCCAGAGCAGGACTCGAACTCGGACCCACGTTTGTAACCACAGTACTACCGTGATTTATGTGCTTTTTGTGTGTATAATACATTTGTTTCTGGCATGAAAGGATATTTAATAAATAATCAGTTGTCTTGTCTATCTCATTAGCTCACAATCAATCTTTATACTGTTGAATTGTACTCTCTTCCCCTGGAGAAAGGAACGGAAAGAGAGGGGGTCAGAATGAGGAGGGCTCCATTCTTTATCTGGTACCTCATCTTATCCAAGTCCCCAACCAGGGAGAAGGAGCAACTGTTCTCTTCATCTTTTAAAGAGAGGGCTCCACTGACGGTGACTAACTCAAGTCCAAAACCAAGGCTGCGGGAAGGGCACATGCAGCAACCAGAGCAGTATCACCTGTAGGAAGGTGAAAGGCGCTCACCGGAGGGCTCAGGGGGCCAGCCTGATTTAATTTCAATCATAAAAGAATACCAGATTCTTAAAACACTAGCATGCAATGGATTTGCTCTTTCTTGACATCTAGCAAGTTTCCACAGCCCACATGTAACATTATCGTGAACCAGTGAAAGGAAGATTCTACAGACAAGAGAAATCAATGCCACAGGCAGGCTGAAACCCAGGCTGGAGTTTAAGATGAGAAAGGGTATAGTTAAGAAGAGGGGAAAGGCTGGGAAAAAAAAAAATCATCACAGGGACTCTCAAGCATCATCCAACAATCATATAATCATTCATTCAAGAGAGAGTT